CGCCGGGAAATTGATTTTGAAATTCTATGAAACATTCCTCAATAGAATACTTCCATATTCCATCAATCTTGCGTCCATTTCTAAAGTAGGACTCTATGATAAACACTTTTTGTTCTTGAGAAAACACCATTTTAAACGCTTTTTAAAACGAAAATATTCAAATTGATAGCGGCGATATAGCGCTTTGACAGATGGCGTTTAAGTTCATTTGCTATACGCTACGCCCTACGTCCAAATTTTCAGAACCAACTTGACCACGTTTTTATTTGAACGCTCGTTATATCACAAAAACCGACAATAACACAAAAATTAAGAGAAAGATAGGCATAGAGAAGTATATGGATAGATAGAGGATAACATTCTACAACAGTTCTCGATTAAATATACGGGGTGTTCCATTTAGGAAAACCAAGTTTTGCCTTCAAAAGAAATACAAGAACTATTAATACAAACTTTTTTCTCTATGTCCAAAATTAAGAATATATCTAGGTGAGATGATGAGAATCCTCGTACATACCTACATGACATGCTTTCTACATGTAAATCTTGCATAATAACTGGCAAGTATGAAAAATTCAGATCCTCGTCGAAACGGTACTCGAAAGATTTCCATTCACAGGCGCACCTAACCTACCCTGCAATTAAGGGCCATTAGATGCAATCAGGTAGCATTGTGCCGAGCGGGGCTAGAACTGAACCCGTCATTACAGTGACAGAGAGCCCGTTCATACGAATCTCCCTTTCCGCTTGAACTAGCTTCTATTGAAGCAGCCCATGACGTTTACTGCATAGGGATGTATGTGTGAGCATTACATCGCCAGTCAAACTTACTTCCTTTCATCAGATTATCTTTCGTTTACAGGTTGGCCTAATGAGGCGTGGGGAATTTGTTTGGATTTACTATTCACCGGAATCTGTAAATGGATCAGAGAGGTGGAATGAATGGGGCAGATTTTTTCGAATTTGATTAGTTTTGGAATATCTACCTACTTATAGGGCGTTCCAATTAAAACTTCCCACCTGAAAATATCGGAATTAAAATAAAACAAAAGAAACCCGAGATACGTCGACTTTCTTTTCAAAGGGGACACATGATGGCGTAAGTTTTGGTGTCTTGGAAGATACCCCTTAGGCAGAGGAGCAAAATACCCTTAAACTTAAATAACAAGACAAAGTATCAATGAAAGATTGTTGTTTTATTAAGTGTTCAAATTGGTTACCCCGCGCTTCCATACAATAATAAAACCTTTGCTCCACTTCCGAATGAACATTTCGAACCATATCAGGCGTTATCTGACAGCACTCTTCAACAATTTCTCGATAAAAAAATTGTTTTGATTTTTCTTTTATCTGTCAATACAAAAACTTCATATTCTACAAGTTCAATTTTTCTACCCGTTTTACTTTCAACGAGATAATATTGGCTCGTCTTGTCTTGTACAAAAATAATGACTGTGCACGGCAGGCAGCACAGATTTTTAATGATCGTCATCGATCGATTTAGTGTATACATTTTCGGAAACTGGTTCGGTTGCAGACAGAAAGCATCAACGCGAACAGGTCGTAACTACGTAGTAAGGGTAATCAGGTAGCTGTCCTGGATCACATCGCAATGGAACCAAATTTGAGTCTCGGGAAACTTACAAGTACTTCAGGAAGAAATTCCTACCTAGTTGCCGCCGAATTTTAAAAATTCGTAAGTAGGTATCACCCATACAAAATTAATTTGGTACGAGAAATTAATGAAGGCAACCCTGATCGCCGCTTGCAGTTCTGTAAAGAAATGAGTGATCGTGTTCGAAGGAATCCAAATTTTTTGTACTCAATCTGTTTTTCCGTTGAATGTACGTTCCAACGGGATGGTCGAGTTAAAAGTGGTCGATTTGGCGTCGTTTTAGCCACGAAAATTGAATAATTCTAAATATTTCGAATTTTCACCACCAAGAACGGCGGTGACAACATTTTTAACAATAAGGCGATGTTTCGCATTGTATTAGCTATGTCCTGTCCAAATTCTGTTCGCGCAACTCTCTTGGTTTCGACAATGCAATACCTATGTATGTTTTCAGCCAAGAAAACTGAATAATTTAAAATATTTCGAATTTTCACCAGCAATAGGCATGTATGTAATATGTTTTCAGCCACGAAATTTGAAAAATTCCAAATATTTCGAATTTTCACCACCAAGAACGGCGGTGACAATATTTTTAACATTAAGACGATGTTTCGCATCGTATTAGCTATGTCCTGTACAAATTTATTCATTTCACTATGATGGCGAACAAACTTATAAAGCTAAGGCTGGAATTTCGTGACGTCAAGCGAAAAATTGCTGAAGTTTACGTTTTATACAGACTGTCTGCTATAAGAGGGCCACTCCTATACAGGGTGATTCAAAAACCCGCTGACAGACTTCTAGGGTAAGTAATACATGAAAAATTAATACGAAAAGTCTTAATAAACATAGGGTCGCAAATGCCTCCTTAACGAGATACAGGGCGTCAAAGATTCCGTAAAATTAAAGCGTAAAAATGACAAAAAGAAGCTTATAATCTAGTTTACTTAACTCACTTGTACACATTGACATTAGTGACAGGCGATGTTTAATTTTATTTTGAATAGCACAAGCCTACTATGCGAAAATAAAATGAATGAATATAAAATTGGATTTACAAATTTTCTACAAAGGTGTTTCTCTTAAAAATAGTTGCTTTAATCCAAATTTTGAAAGAGACCAATTCGATAGACAATTGAACACTTTACACGAAAATAGTGCGCTTTCGACAAAATTAGCAGTGCCGTAGAAAATATTTTCAAAAAAGGGTCACGTTGACCCCGTCTCTACGACACTGCTGCTCATAAAATTATAAACAGTACATCAAACATTGGTCTTAAGGTGCTAACTACGAATAGCAAATTAGAAATAGAAATGTTCAGGCATTTTGAAATTATTGCAGACAATGTTTAATTTTACAGAAACTTTGACGCCCTGTATCTCGCTAAGGAGGCATTTGCGACCCTATGTTTATTAAAACTTTGCGTCTTAAATTTTTGTGCATTATCTACCCTAGAAGTCTGTCAGCGGTTTTTTGAATCACCCTGTATATCTCGCTTAATACGCGATGCACTTCAAAAATCTTTATATGTTTTTTGTTGTATATTTTGAGGTCTTGATGCTTGTAAAAACAAATTTGAGATCCATGGCCAACTTTATGAGTAATCATAAAGAAACCGGAAAAGTACGGAAAGTTTAGGGACGTCTAACTTTTATGAGCGATGGAGAAAACTTATTTTAATAAAATTTCATTTTCAGATATCAATTTTGCCATAAAATTTTATGAAAATAAGTTTTTTCTGTTTCTTAAAATAAAAAAGTTAAGACGACCCTAAACTTTCGGGACTTTTCGGTTTTTTTATGATTACTCACAAAGTTGGCCAAGGATTGGCCTCAAATTTGTTTTTACGAGCATCAAGGCCTCAAAAAATGTAAAAGAAACATTTAAAGATTTTTGGCGTGCGTCGTATATTAAGCGAGATCCATAGGAGTGGCCCTCTTATAGTAGACAGCTTGTATATTGCTTTCTTTTACTTACTTAAAGAAGGAAACTTTTCGGCTGTCTTCACCAAATTGTTCACTTCTGTTTATTCAATGTTCATGATAAAACAAATAATTATTGAAATCATAGCGATGCGTAAGTAGGTAGGTACACGTCAAGATGCCACCATATAGGTATCTAGCCAAACTCGATTGACCGCCGGGCTTCTGCCAGGCTACCAACTGCCTTCACCGTAATAACCCTATCTTTCAGTCTAATTGGTCTGTGATTTGGACATATGACCACACCGCGTGGGTGGGAGAGGAATTCGCCACTGGTTTTGGCACAAAATAAGCTTATAGGTTTTTTCTTTTATTTATTTTTAAATATCAGGGAATTGCCTTTAGTCTTCAATCACATATCAAAGAAAGATGCCGTTTATTAGTAGGTAATTAATTGCCATTTAGAATATACCTACATTAGATTATGTAATTTTGTAAAATTGTTATCTACATTTGGTTTAAGTTTTGTCAAATAAAGAAATGTGAAAGAAAACTGTAATTTCAGTTCTTCAAAAACTAAAAATATATTTTTTCAGAATGAGGTAGATATATTTATAAATATTTGTAGGTAAATACCAACAAGATAATGTTAAGAGAAATGTGGATACACGTCCTTGTTACGCATGAAGGTGGTACTTTGGTTGATCACCATATAAAGATGCTTATGTGGTGGCAGCCCCGACGATAATTTAAAAGCACTCGACAAACAAATACATTAAAAACGAAATTCATAAGACTGGAAAAATCGTACTCCAACCTTAAATCAATATGCCCAATAAAACTATATAAATATACAATATCACAGTGGAGAACAGCCCTCTTGTGAGTGAAGTGTTTCCACAATAGGTCGATGGGATGAACTTTAGTTAGGCCGAGATTAAGCATGCTAAGTGCTCACCTCAATAAGGCCGTGTTCCCACAACCACACTGGAGAAAACCGCCTCTACATAGCTCTGGTCTAAGACGGAATATCCCTGACGAGAGCGCGGCTTGAGTGGGACCCGCCCACGCGGCCGCCTGGCATCCCCATTGGCCCGGATCGGGGCGGACACGCCCCCGTTCCGGCTCGAGTACCCAGAATGCACCCTGGCCGCGGCAGAAGTGCCATGTACACTTGGAGTACACTCTAAGAGTACGCTTAGGCGAGTTAAGCACACTTCGAGTTAAAGAGTCTTACATCAAGAGTGCTATAGCTCGATCACTGATTTATTTATATAGTTAGTCAGTTTGTTTATTGAATTCGGATATCGGATCGAGTGGGCTCCGCGCCGAAGAACGCGTCGGGCCGTTGCAGTTCACCCGCGAGGGTTTTTGACTGGTGCATACGCGTGATCCGATGACCCGATGAACTGAACCGGTGTTTTTGCGGGAGCGGCGCGGTCCTTTCGTGGTCCTGGAGTCCATGTCGGCAGGTGGCAACTACGGGGAAGGCCCCGTGGTGTCGGATCGAGGGGACCTGCACGGGCTACTGCCCGAGCTCAATGGCGTCGAGCTTGCTATGAGCCTCAGCCCCAAGCACCACCAAGGAGGTCCTCAAGTGTTAAGCCATCTGCAGCAGCTCCACCACCACTCCACGCCCTTCAGCGTCACGGACATTCTGAGTCCCATCGAGGAGTCCTACAGGAAGTTGGAGTTGGCTGCTAACCCTCCGTCGCCTTATAGGTAAGCCAGTGCGTTCTTTAGATTATACGGGGGTGTTAATTAAGTACGTCGACGAACGTTAAAGGACGATTCTTTGAGTAATTTTAAACCAAAAATGTTTTGTGTACTCTAGACTACAAATTGAAAGTTTTCGAGATTCAAGGTGTTAAAAAATTAAATTGTTTCTGGATTCGGATACGTGTACCAGTGGCGGAATTACGGGAATTAACTCTCCCTGAGCGTCAGAAATTTCGACGACACTGGATATTTTGAAAATTCGATCACTTCTTATAACTCCTTGAGATGTTTCCATGTACCTATAGTGCCTACTTGCCTCTAAAACTGTTTAAATTTCTCTATTTGGTACACAATTTTTTCTTCAAATCAGATTGTAATGTAATAGCTACCTAGAATTAACATGTAGTTCATAAACAGCCTTCACAAGCTTAACCTTTTCTTAATACTAAGTTCCAGCAACCTGTAGGCCTACACCTGACATTATCTTCACGAGAAATTAAATTTAAATAGGTATAAGTAGCTAGATACAAAAATGCATTTTTGGTTAATTACCTTTTTTAATACCTACTCTATTTTAAAGGTAGGTAGGTACTAAGCCAATTCAAACATTTCTTCTAAAAAATATTATCGAATAAATTGAAACAATGTTTTTCAATAAGTTACAAAAAATACAAATCGCTGCCAACGAAGTCAAACGCAATCCCAATATGTTGTTTCAAACTCGAAGATCTCTCAGAAAAAGTGTAAAGTGTATCAGTGTCAACGATGGATTCTTCGAACAATTACTTTAAATCATAATTACGTATTTTATTTGTTTTATTGTTAATTGTTGTAATAACACGAAGAAACACTTGGTTTGTTTCGCTTTTAATTTCTCGTATTATCAAAACATAGTGTTCGTTAAATCGATTTTTCTCGAAAACGGATCGAGATACCGAAATGAAACAAGAATACATAATTAATGGAAAAATGATTGCTCTTTCAGGTTTTGAATCAAGTTTCATGTTAGACATACAGGGTAAAAAGTTATTAACTAAATTTTCGGTAAAATTGGTGGTAAGTGGCGCCCTCTATGAGCAATGCTGAAATTACAACACGCATCTTATTCGTCGCCTACAAAAATATAGTTTGACAAATTTTCAAGTTCCTAGATCTTTTCAGAATAATCGCAAAAAAAACGATTTAAAATTTTAACTTTCAACACCCTGTATTTCCGAAACTATTAACTTTCGGATAAGGCATGTTTGCGCCAATCGTCACTATTTCACGTGTAGTATCTACAGCTTTTGACTTTCCCATTGTTAATGAATCACCCTGTATAGTTACTTTAAGATCCCATTAATGGTTTTAGCAAAATACATTACCTATCATGCAATATAACTTCAAATATGTCAAAAAAATCGCGAATTTGGCACTTTTAGGTTAGGATATCTCGAAAACCAGAGCCAATTGAGAAATTTGGACCTCGGATTCGAATTCAGCGTACCGAAATCTTTTGAGAAAGTATATTCGTGTTGTTGGGTTAAAATATTGTCAGCCTGTGTTATTTTCTCAGACTTTTCATGATTAGATAGGTACCTACGTTGTAGCAGTGACTATAACAATAATTCTTGTTATAGTCACTGGTTGTAGGTATTTAATCAAACATTTTCAAAACAATAATATAAATCTTTTTTGCGAAACGAGTAATTCTAGAGTTACGTTACAATTAATGAAATGCTGGCTAAAGTTAATCATAGTAAAAAAAGAAATAAATCGAAAATTGTTTGTTTTCTGAATAAAATGAAAGACATCTTTCCTCTTGAAAACAGCATAGTGCGGTATAAGTATCTATATAGTGATCGAATTTATGATATTTTTAGTGAAAGTAACTCTCGATATCTCTTTATCGAACATCTTCAGAGTTATTTTAGAAAAGGTAATTTTTTTTAAATTTCTACGCCTTGTGTCTCGAAAACTATATTCACTCAAAGAATCACTCCTTACAGTTTGTTGATGTGTTTAATTTACGCCCTGTATAGGTAACTTTGTACTCGTTTATAGTAGCTCTTCGTTAGCTATAGATAGATATTAAGAAAAAATTAAAATATTTTTATACAAAATGACCAGATCAGATTTTTGTTTAAAACTTTTTACAAACCTAAAACACCTAGGTAGATATCAAAAAGATATACCTTTATACCTAGTTACATTTTCCCGTGATTTAATAAAAAAGAAATTTAATTCAAAATACATCACACTCTTGTCCCACATATGATTATGTTTATTTTCTTGTGTAAAATTGTTCACGAATCTCTAGTAGCTATTTCATAAATTACCTACTAAACCCTGCTAAATAATTCCTTGGTTATACGTATGTATCCACAAATTTGTTCTTGGGTAACTGTTTTGCAATATGGATATATTAAACAAATATTACCCTGAATTAAATCATGTAATCTAATTAGGTATGATATGATAGATGAGTGCGTATAGTGTTCACATTTATACTCCTACACTTACCAAAACAGTCGAAAACACTTACCCATTTAGTGTATTTAGAGTCCATTTAGTGTATATAAAATTTTAATTAATTTAATATCGGAGTACATCCTCGTGTCCACAGTTCATGAAAAAGTGTTTTAATGTCGTTTCGATCCATTTCATTCCATATTTCGACATGTACGTCTCATGTCCCCCAATTTATTAGGCCGATTTAAATGATCTGGTTATCTTCCAATCATATCCCAGACTTGTTGAATGGGCTTAAGGTTTGGACTAGTGTAGCAGTAGATATATCTACTTAAATGCGGATACCTAACCACTGGTTATGGTTATACCTCAACAGACTTCACCTACTATTAGATATCAATATCAATCTGTAACTACCATCCTACCTTGCAATCAGAAAAAGATAACGATTGCATAGATTTTAGATAATTAGATTTGTCTACGTGTTTATTAATTTAACCACACATCATTTATCATTTTAATGATAAATGACTGTGTGTGTATTTAGATTAAATACACACACAGCTGCATCGCACTTTTTAGCTTAATATCTAAATCAAAACCTATCTTAAATTCTGTTTCTGTCCCTAACTTTTTTTCTGAAACACGAAAATCTAAAAACTGAAAAGAGTAAGTTGATAGATATCTGCGAAAACGTCACATTTATATAAGCTTCTATAAACACGTTAAAATTAACGATTATCCTTAAACAAAAGTTTTGAAAGATCAGTAAATATAATCACGGGCGTGTATATTTGTATTTGATAATTACCTTGAATGTTAAGGATTCTTATTCTTCCATTACCGTTTTAATGGTCTTTCAGCGTCTTTTCCCTTTCATTTACTTGAATCTTCCTACATTTTTTAACTACGTACCGAGTGCCTACAAAGCGTTAATTTTTGAAAAAATGTGTTCGATATTAATTAATTATTATTTTAAATCTAATAACACATTATTCTACATTTTAAAATACCTCCATATCAATTTCTATTAACACCTATTAATATGTAAATGTTTTATACAATTTAAAAAATGTAACAGTTCTTGAAATATACCTAGTTCTATAGTCATAGATACGCTTACACAAGTACTTAATCTTTTTTTAATTAAAAAAAAAATTGCAAGAGGTCAAGTCAAGGGGCGTAGAAAAAAATCTATGGTATTCTCATTATTCTTAGGTAGAGTATTGTAGAAGACAAAAATAGTTTTGTCTCGCGTTGCAAAATTACATAAATCACTGCTAACAGAACGTTAAAAATTTCACGTTTATTGATTTTCTATTTAAATCTCCAAATTTATACAGACAATCCACGGCGACTGATCATCAGTTACTTCTAATTTAGGCCGGGTTTTTCACTTCCTGTTAAATTTAACCCCCAAGTTAAATTCGTCTCTGTTCATAAAACATATACCTATTTATTTATATCAAAAGTGGTTGATGCACCATAACCTCAAAAACATTCAAAATAGGCATTTTATACTCTGTAGACATGATAAATTGAATGATGCCCTTTAATTTAGTTGCTAAATGCTTATCTCTGCTTGTAGACAGATTGCGTCGTTAGCACTAACTCACTACTTCACATTTAACTAACTAAAAAATAATAGCATACGTAGGTAAATAATCTACACCAACACTGCTAAAAGAGATAAACTGATACAGAAACATTATTTTGCAAGACAAGGATAAACAATACTTTTTCGAAAAGAAGCTTTATATGCGGTGTTGTCACTAGTTCAGAAATTTATTTCGATAGTAAAAATATCTTTAATGTTATGCAATAAAACAATAAATTTAAATAAAAAAACAAACTAATATAATAAAACTTTGCATATATGAAATGAATGGTGCAAATATGAAATGAACAAACTAACAAATTTCCTAATTAAATAGGATACTTCGGGACTAGATATGACACACGATATGACAACATGGTCCGGCTCACAGTGTCGATTCAACTCTCATACATTTTTATATAGATTATAAATAAATAAATAAATGCACCCTCTTACCATTATAAACTTTTTATGTAACTCACAGTAGTCAAAAATGTTTATTAGGTACTTAGACTCTATGGTGTGCCAATTTACATAAAAATTCCTAGCTTATATGTACTGTTTGTTTCTATTCCAAATATTTATCGTAGTTGTAACTTTTATCTTTTTCCTCCATAGTTGCCTGTACTTCACACGTCCTCATTCTTCCAGATCCACGTCCAGCGGCAGCAGCGTCAACTCCCCGGGGGCAAGCGGATCGGCCAGCGGCGGTTGCAGCATGAACGGGAGCTACCCGGTGATGGGCCAGTTCGGCGGCGGCCAATACTGCCCCGTCTCCGAGAATTTGGGGCTGGCCCCGCACTACTCGTCCGGATGGTACCAGAGCTCGGCGGCGGATCCCAGATTTGCAAGTGAGTCGTTTGTGACTGTAAAGTAATAATATACCGCACCCGTGCAAAACAAGACAAAAAAATCTTAAAATATAACATATACAGATTTTAATATATGACATTGTGGGAGACCACTACTCTGCGGAATAAAGTTCTGTCCACCATTGAATTACACCCGCAATATCTAGCAAACTGCTAAGATTATTCGTCCAGCACAACATACAGGTACACCTGTTTTGAACTTATTAGTTTTTACCAGTATACCATTCGGATGTCTACCCACCGACATGTTTTAAGTGCTGGTGAGATATAACCTCCAAAGTGTGTTCAGTACTATTCGTTGGTAGGTCGTCTCACCTATGACTTATTGATAAGAACTAATAAGTTCGAAACCGGTTCGCTACTTTGGTTATTCTACTGACGAATGATATTTGATGATGAGTAGTTGTTTCCCATAATGTCATAGGCAAAAAACTGTATTTCTCCTAGTGCGACACAAGTCAGTAAGGATATACACTTTTTTTTTATAAATGGGTTAAAACGATACAGAATTGCGACCTTAAGCAAGCCAGTCATATTAAAAAGGAGTGAATTTTTGTCTGTTTTGTGGGTCTATGAGTGGGAAAGCGTTAAGCAAAATTGTTATCGACGACCATCATTCTATGAGCGTACCTACTAGATTTGTATTACACTGTGTTTATAGTACCTACAAATTAGTAGGTCGCTTTGCCAGTAGGTACAAAGCAATGCTATGTGACAGTAGGCTTTGAGTAGCAAAGACAGTTAAGATTGCAACGCACTTTCTAGGATATATCTCGCCCACAATCACAATAAGGACTTGCGTAAAAGCATGTGCAAACGCTTGTATCGGTAAAACGAAAGAGAATATGAATTATAAACCGCATTGCTGTATGATGGATATACTGTAACATACATGAAATAGAATAAGTATAAAAAAAAATCAAAACGCATTGACCTTTTGAGTCAGTGCGTCATTAAAATTTTGGTTAATTCAATAATCTTTCAACAGTTCATGATAATAACGTTTCACTGAACTATCCATATTTTATTTTCTAGCTCAGAGACTTATTGTGGGTTCGTGCTATTCAATCTTAAGGCTCGTAGACAATAACGAGTAAAATTTGCTAAAGTAGCTGTCGGATATCTCTCGCAAATGTGTACTTGCTCAAAAAACGAGTTCTAGCCGACTCATAAAATGCTGTATTCACCTATTGGCTAGAGTGAAGCTGTTTGACCAGCTTGGACACGTTGGCAACAAACACCGAGCAGTAATAACTATCGACGCAGAACACATTTGGAATAAAGGGAATTATACAGGGTGTTCTGCAAGCTCAATGACAAACTTTGGCATATGGTTAATTTCAAACATTTTTTCTTGTATGAACATAGATCCTATTTGTTTTTGTTTAGAAGTTACATGCATTTTAAAATATATAGTTTCATATTTCAATCAAAGTAGCCTGCCTTATTATTATTTGTGTTTAAAGTTTAAGCACTAGCTAACCTTTATTAATCAAATTTACAAATCTTAAGAGCCTTACATCGGCGAACGAAAGATTCCATCACTCGACGGATGAGATTTGGATAATTTCTTATTTGGTTAGCTGCATCCTAAATTCTTCAAGTAACTGCTGACGGATACTGATTTCAACATGGTGGAAAAGCCAGATTTTCATAAATCAAGGTAAAAGATTCCACTCCGTCTAAAAATGTGACTTCGCTTAAAAAAATGACTTAAGGACTCTACACATATAATGATGTGTAGTGTGATGTGCTTGTTTCCATGGGACAAGACAAAAAAGTTTCTACTTTATTCTTTCATTTATTTAGTCGTGCATGGGCTTATGGTTTTCCAATCAGATTTTTTTAACTACTATGCAGTTTTCCTATGGCATTTAGATGCTTTTATTTCTTAATAATTTTAAAGTTCAAGGAAAAGGACACATTACTGCCACACAGCACATCACTGCATCTGCTTATGCCTTCAATCTAAAAATGTGACTTTGCCGAAAAAATGCCGCCTACTCGGCCTAAAATTATGACTCTGCCTACAAATTTTACCTTGATTTATGAAAATCTGGCTCCAGATGTGTGATTAATGAAGGTGAGATCAACCAGCAATCCTTATGATGCCAAATTTTACTGAAATCGGTGGATTTCAAAAAAGTACACCCGCCATATTGGATCAGCCATCTTGAATTTTTACAATGTGAATTCATATTCGTAATCAGCGACCCAAAAAACCCCTTTATACAAAATCTGGTCAAAATCCGCTCAGAATTTGAAAATAGCGATTCCTGCTCGGTTTTTTGAGGTTAGAAAAAAAACCACACGTTCTAGCTCAATTCTGACAGTGGATTTGAATTCAGCAGAGTCTTTTACATAAAAATGTACTATTTGATGTGGAAATAATTTTTTTTCCAAATTTCCCCAGTAAATTTTCATCAATTTTCACTATTTTTCACAAGTTTTTTGAGGTTAGGAAAAAATTGTGACGTGATGGGCCAATTCTGACCCCAGATTCGTGTTCAGGAGGCCAAATTACTACGAAAAATGTATGTCGCATAAAAAGTATACCCAATTTTTTTTTTGTGTGTGGCTGTGTTATTATTTATGCCGTCCCTAAGTGAAACAAGCTTCATCAGACTAACAGCATGTAAAGCTTGAACATTTTGGCGATGAAACGGATGTAACATTTCTCTGTTCTATACAACCCATACAAAGTTCGGTGATAAATGAAGATGACTTGCTATACGTTGAACACTAATTGAAGAGTTGTCAACGACAGCATTTATTTTATCTTCTCCATTTTGTACCTTCACTTCAGTAGAATGAATGTCCCTTTTTGGAGTGGGGTTACCTTCTTCTCGTAGTCTACGAAATAATGCATTAAAGACTGTGTGGGCAGGTTGATGTCTATTTGGGTATCTTCGTCGGTATTCTCGGGGTGCTTGTCTGGCGTTCCCCGTTGACGGTTTCAGTCAAAACTGTACTGCGAGCATTTTAAACGTGAATAGAAATAGAAAGTTTAATTTGTAAAAAAATAAAATCGAGGTTCTCCATTCAGCCGTTTTCCGTACCTACACGACGTGCAAAGGCGCGGTATCAGATGTACGGTAGGTATCCGTATCACACTAAAAGTGGAACGTCAGGAATGCCCCTGGTGGGTGTACCCCGGAATGTAATCGATAGGAGGCACTTAGAGCGGGATTCTCGCCTATGTATGCGGTCGTCGGATACGAAAAGTTGGCTTTGGTAACCGAATACGGACGTGTCGCTCGGGTCCCTGGAAGTATTAACTCTGGGACATCTCGTATTGACGAAACTGCAACCCGAGCCGGGTCGGTTTCTCGTATGCAGGGCTAATAATTGTGCGGGCAATCTTCTGGGGTGAGAAGTGTGTGTAGATACACACGGAAGTGCTATAATTTTTTATAGCACAGAACAAGGCACAGTTTTGAGTCCGGTCAAGTTAGAATCGAAATTAAACCTTCAGGAACGTGAATGTTTTGTATCAGACTATTTAATTTTTCACTAAATTTATTTGATTGATACAATTTCACGACGCACAGTGGGAAATATTGGACAAATTCTCGCCAACTCGCCAATTTTCGTCGTCTTGTCGTAATTTTTTTTTAATAATCTCGTGGTAATCTGAATTTTCATATTCCGGTGAGATTTTTTCGAAAAACCCTTTTTTTAATGCTTAGGGAGCGCCCCAACCTCAATGTCGAAGAAAATTTTTTTTAAATACTCGATGTTCAGTTGTAGAAAAAAATGTTTAAAAAGTATCTGCTATTAATAAAATTCGAGTTAAACAAAATTTCAGGGCCTTTAGGTTATGTTTTCAGTTTTGACCAAAGGTTTTGGCGATCGCGATCATGAACACTCAACAAAAATACATTTATTCTTTTTATTAAAGAAAATAATTATGTGACAATTTTTTTCACTCTAATGATTTGATTTGATTTTTCCAGTTTTGAGGTTAGGTTCTTGGGTTAAGGTGTCAGATTTGGCTACAGTATGGCACAAGGTGTGTGCTCTCGGAAAAATTGTTGATCGAATCTCTACAATAGATATTTTTAATTTTTTTTTATTAATCTTTAATTTAGTGAGTTTAAACTTAGATAATGTTGGTTTTGAGGTTAGGTTTTTTAGATTTAAATTCATGGTTTGGGTATAACATGTTACGTAGGGTTCTATTGAATCTATTTCGTACCTACTTTTGGCATGTAAAAAAACTTTTTTTCCAATGTAAATTTCGTTTAAGGCATTTAGGTTAGAATTAATAATTTTCAGGTAAGGTTTTTGAAGAAAAAACATCAGATATATCATCAAGGGTCATAATAATCAATTTTATTAATAGCAGATACTTTTTAAACATTTTTTTCTACAACTAAACATCGAGTCAGTATTTAAAAATTTTTTCTTCGACATTGAGGTTGGGGCGCGCACTAAGCATTAAAAAAAGGGTTTTTCGAAAAAACCTCACCGGAATATGAAAATTCAGATTACCACGAGTTTATTAAAAAAAAAAAATCACGACGAGACGATGAAAATTGGCGAGTGGCGAGAATTTTGTCCAATATTTCCCACTGTGCGACGTCATTAAATTAAGTACAACTGTTTTTCTGTAAATTGTCGCACCATTGTGTACTAAATCGCAGCAGCCGTGCTGTTTCTAGTCTGTCCGTTCCATTGCCCTTTTCAGTGATCAGTGACTAAATTGTTTAGGTTTAGATCATTATTCTGACATTTTTTAGAAATTATGACAAATGTCAAATATTTGTTGAAGCGTGTTTGTTTCAACGTATTTTTTCTATATCTATAAAATAAAAATCTTAAAATAATGTTTATTATTGTGAAAGTAAAAAAGCAGAGTTATTCTTATTTACTAATCATTTAGCGCACAAATTTCTTAAAAATGTAACGAAGATTTTGTGGGCTGGGAATGATATAACGAGCGTTCAAATAAAAACGTGGTCGAAGTTGGCTCTGAC